TCCCATGTTGTCATCCATCTTACATAAAATGCTCAGTTCTGCTTTTTTCATTTCCTCTCTTTTTTTTTTTTTTTTTACAATGTTTGCTAAATTGCAGTTGACTGCGCTTTCTTAACCTGTGGTAATAAACCAAACATTGTGTAATTTATTCAAAAACTTTCTTTTTTTTGTTGTTGTTCTCTTTTTAAATTATCACCGTAATTTAAGTCCAGCTTGTAAACATGGATCCCGACGCCCCAAAGCTCCCTCGGCTTCCTCTCAATAAGTGACCTAAGTGGCCTGGCAGATTAAATGTGTTTAATTAGGAGGTGATTATATGACGGCTGACGCAGCAGGACGAGGACGTCTTCATCCGATCCTAGTGGTTGTCACACGTGAATAAGCAGCTCCCCTCCACACGTCTTCCTTATTTCGTTTTGTTATTGTTTATTAAAATATGCTCAAATGACCTCCAGGTGTCCCCTAAACGCACCCAGGCACCATAAAAGTGGCTTAAAATCCAAACTAAACGTAAGTGCGTCCATTAGACAAATCATTAAAAAAGTCATTTTAGCGCAATATTTCAACTTGAAGTCAAAAACTCATGGAGAAAATTTCATCTACTTCTGTCTGTTTCGCTGATTATGGCTGACAGTTAATGATATGTTTCAGTTTTTCAGAAGATTACAGCGACAACAATGTTTTTCAACACGGAAAACTCCTTTAACATGAACAGTTGCGTTGAAGCGACTTTCCAAAGCGACGTAACTTTGTCCGTCGGCTGAGACCGGAACCACATATTGCGGCCCAGGACTCAAAATAGCAACGAATAGCATCAGAAACGGACGGGAATGTGAGGGGAGACATTTAAAGCAATGCTAATTAACAAAGTATGGCAAGCTCTGTTGAGCAAAACTCAAAAGACCCGAGTGTTGACCCGGGTAACTGAACTGCAGACTCTTCTGCGCCATCAGAATAAAGAAATATTTCACTTTTTTAAAGTTCTAAGTTAAAACCGCGTAGACCAAGCAAAGCGGTGCTCTGGCTTTTTTGCAACACAGAATAGAGAAGCTTTAAAATCACACTATGGGATTCGTGAGACATTGATTTATACATATTTTATTTTTTGCAGAGGAAGAATGGGGAAAAAAACAAATTGAGCATTTTGAACAAAGTTTGACGGATTCAAACGAGAAAACTCGAATCAGACCTGGACACAAATATTCTTCCTGATCAACAAGTCCAGAGCGTCCCAACCGATTGTTACCAGATTTATGAGTCCATCACTTTTTAATTACTCATGCGACTCAAATGAAAATATTATGATTCTGTAGTCCAAATGTAGTTTTGCTAATTTCTGAAAATGTTTTTTGTGCCGTCGACTCCGTTTAGCAGCTGTAATCGTCGGTAATGTGTCTCCATCGTCTTGAGCTGCAGAGGCTTTGGCTCTCAGGGCGACTTGTGGTTAAATGCCAATAATGCAGCACATAAAAGAACAAAACCGATGTTCTTTAATGTGCGACAGGAGAGGTAAGAAGAGCCAAAAGGAAGAATTCAAGAGAAAGAAAGAAAAAGAGGAAAGGAAAATGCAGAACAGAAGAAAGAGGGGTGTTAATGAGCAGAGAGAGAGAGGTGAAAATGAGGCCAAATTCTTGTTTTAATCATGTGTGGGAGGATGAAAGTGGAAGTCTTTTCTTTTTTCTTTTTAGTTCTCCTCTCTCCCCTCCTCAGCGAAGACAAACATTGTATGCAGAAAAGCAAGAGTTTGCTAAGAGGGGAAATAAAGGCCTGGATCATTTACATCTGAACCTGAGCAGAGCGAATAAAACGTCACTTTCAGTACTGTGTGTGTGTGTGTGTGTATTAAAGTGACAAAAAAAAAAAAAACTCAGCAGGTTTCTTAGCATCCATCAGCTTCACTTCTGGCTCAGACAGAAAAACTCTCAAAGTGTGGAGGCGTTTATGTCTCCATCACATATTGATACGAGCCAAACTCATGAAGTGCACAACTGTTTGCCCTCTGAACACGCCACCGGGTTTGTTATGTTGAAAAATAAAGCCCACTAATTTAAGCTTCAGTATGCAGAAGAATCAGGGGGTTATATTGAGTGTGTGTGTGTGTGTGTGTGTGTGTGTGTGTGTGTGTGTGTGGTGTGTGGGTGTGTGTGTGTGGGGTGTGTGGTGTGTGTGTGCGTGCGTGTGTGTGTGTGCGTGTGTGTGTGTGTGTGTGTGTGTGTGTGTGGTGGTCAAAGGATCAAGAGGAAGATGGAGACAGATGGGTCACACAGTTATCCCTCTGTGGATCTGGAGCCGGAGCTGCTAATTACATCTTAATTAAATATGACCTGCGTATCCGCCGCTCCTCCTCAGCCGCAGATGACGCGTCTCTCTCTCTCTCTGTGTGTGTGTGTGTGTGTGTGTGTGTGTGTGTGTGTGTGTGTGTGTGTGCGCGTGTTTTTGTTTGTTTGTGTGTGTGTGAGCGAGTGAACGAGGGGGCAGGAATTGAGAAGTGATGATTGAGAGCAACACGAGTCGGTGTCAAGGGGAGCGTTTCCTAGAATTGTAAACACTTGCGTGCGTCCATGGTGTCCGCGGTGATCAATCATGTAAACGAAGGGCGTCAGAGGGAATAAGCGTCCGTCCTGTCAGCGAGTTTTCCCCGTTGTGGCTCTGAGATTATTTAAAGAGCACGCAGCGACACGAGGCGCCACCAGAATCTGCCGCATGGACGCCAACAAATGATCAGAATAGTTACTTTTTTAAAATTATTTTGCCGTCCACGTAGTTGTTGCTTTGCTGTGTGTTCTCCATCAGGTTGATTCATGAACTTTTACCAGCTCAGAAAGCCATTTTGTAGGAAACAGACTGCAGCCGTGTGCTGTGAAAATGGGAAAAAGATAGATCATTGTTCTTTCACTCTCTCTCACTCACACGCACGCACACACACACACACACACACACACACACACACACACACATACACGCACACACACTCACCTCCTCATGAAGGAATTTTTCTTTAAATCTTTCCCGTTACGACACATTGGAACCACACATTTCTGTGTTTTTGATGTCTTAGATACCAGGCTAACACAAAGTAGTGCAAAACTATGACACAGAAGGAAAATAAAAATGTCAGAGTTCATTAGTGAATGCCACTGTTAAAAAAAAAAAAAGCCTGCAGTTTGGCACAAAACTGCAGTGTGACAATGTACTTTATTGGTGATCAAGGTCCAGATCCAAATGTTTTCAAATCTCTTGGGGAAATGAGAGGCACAAACAGGCCTAAAAAACTAAATGAAAACACAGTTTGACTTAAATTTGTGGCTTTTTGACATTTTTTTCAGATGTCAAAGATATATTATTGTTGTCTCTGTTTCAGATTTTGAAATTCCTTTTGAGACGGATTAAAACTTTTGATGATTGTTGTAACCTCACTCATAATTATGTGTATTACAGTAAAAAGGTTCACAACAATTTAATGATGCGATTGTGATTATGTGCAACTGCCAAAAGTGCCATATTTGTTATCTAAGGCAAATTTTTCTGCCCTATTTCGAGAGCACACATTTTCAGTCTGAAAGCAGAATTTCAAGTCTTTTGTTCTCAAAACGTTTAATACTTTTGCTCACATTTTTATTTTGAAGGCAGAACTTCGTGTCTTTCTTCTCAAAACTTGTAATGCTTTTACTCAAAACTTCTCCTCGCGCTCAGACATAGTCTCTGCTCGGACGCTCAGCTCTCCGACGAAACATTTCTGCTTGCTTCTGGAACAAAAAGCGCACCGTCACCTGGCAACCTCTTATCCAATAGGATGAAAGTGTGGTACTGGGTACGTTAATTTCCTTTTAGAGGGCGTGCCTGCGTGGATACTATCGATTGTAGCAACCTGCGCCGCCCACTGGATGTAGGACGAAACAACAACCTCAGCTTTCTGCTCCATGTTACACTAAACATCCGCCAGCCGTGTGCTACTGATCGCTAACAGCTACTGGTGTTAGGCAGGAGTTTGTTCATCCAACCGACTCCCTACATCCAGTGGGAGGGACAGGTTGCTACAATCGATAATAGCCACACAGGCACACCCACTAGAAAGAAACAAATGCACCCAATACAGCACTTTCATTCTATTGGCTGAGAGGTTGCCAGGCGACGGTGCCAGAAGGCGGTTCCAAAAGCGAGCGGAGAATGTTTAGTAAGCGAGCAGAGAGTTCTGCAAGAGCACGAGGAGAGAGGTTTGAATAAACATCACAGGTTTTGGGAACAAAAGGCATGTAGTCCTGCTTTCAGACTGAAAATCTGTGCTCTTGAATTATGGCAACAAAATTCCCCCATAGTCCACCAGATGTACCAGAGCAGTGTGGGCACTGACAACCATGTCACGGTGTCTCTCCGACATTACATTTTTTAGAGAGACGCTTGCTAATCGCTACTTCCTCGTCTAAAGGAGACCTGATTGGAATTATTTTTTTTTTTTTTTTTTTTAAATGACACGTTCAAAATTTGCTGTGAAAGGAAAAGTGGACGGTGAAAATTGACAATTCAAAGAGCAATTGCATTCATTCTCCCTCCAACCAGCCCGAGATCGATGTGCCTAATCTGCCAGGAGGCCGAAGCCATGATGGAGGTTTCCAATTTGGAATGGCATAAAGAGACTCAGCAAAGGCATTTTGGAGAAACATTTCCTCAATGGCACAACAGAAAGTGGCATTAAATGTAAAATAGCTCTTCGTTCCCGAGGTGTTTATGCATTTGTTGAACTGAAAAGGACTTTTTGTGTCCTTAGAGCGCCTGCTTATATTTAATGACATGGTTGAGTTATTTTCATCGCAGCTCTGCTATGGCATGTAGCATGACAGACTCCGATAGAAGGACTTTAATTCATTTAAAGTTTAAGGTTTGTAAAATGGATATAACTGGGTATGAGTTTCCCCATTCAGACTGAAGCATATGGATGCTGTTTAACTGCCTTTATCACTTCCGTTATTGTCCATAAATACAAAAGAAAATCCTAACCCTACCATTGTTGGTGCGCATGGTTCTGGCCGTGATGCCATTCGTCCCGATGGGATGATGAACTCCAGCTCCGTCCACAGCTCCTGCCTCCCCCGGCTGCTTCAGAAGCTCCGTCAGAGTCCTGAAGGAAGGAAGGGAAACATTTAGGACAAACCGGCGTTGGGAGCGTCTTTGGATTCTTTTCCCATTTGAGCAAATTTACACCACAGAAAACCCCAAAACAAAACAGGAAGAAAAAAGGAAGTAAGCGCTGAAATGAACGAGGCTTGCTTCTGCAAGAGGACAGGTTCATGAAAAACAGGGGAAAAGAAGCAACGTTTTGATGTTGACACATTATGAAACGATACGCTTCAAAAGGATTATTCGCATTAATAAAAGAGAGAGAAATTGCTCGGATCGGAGGATGAAAAAGACTAGTCTTTGGTTGCTTGCCAGCAGGGAGCGCCAATCATTTACAGAAAATAAATATATATGTAGGACAATGTCTCCTCTTATCATCTTTCTGTTATTTTTTTTTTTTTTTTTTACTTTTTATTTTTTGAAGCCTTTGAACAAGTCCTGATGGCATTGCAAAACTGAAACAGGCCTGCCGATTTGACTGTTTGGGAGCAAAGAAGCCGGGTTGACTTCGCTCTAACTGGACAGAATAAATATTACTTTAGGATCCGATGAAGTTTATACAATTACCGCATATGGATTCTCACAAAATGTTGAAGAAATGATGAATGTACCAGATAATAATCTGTTTCCAGTGGCCTACTCTTTCTCATATATAATTACTTCGGTGCTTGTTTTTGGGCGAATCTCTTGGGTTAAAAGCAAACAATGGAGCAGAGCCAAAAGTTTGTCATTTTTCCTCACGTATAAATTACAAAAAAAAAAAAAGAACAAATAAACACAGTTTTATAGAGTTATTCTTTTGTTAAAAAAAACTAAACAAAACAAACACAACAAAGAAACAACCGTAAGAAGCAATGATTGCAACATGCCCAGGAAAACAGCTGTGACCCGAGCGCCGCCATCAAGAGGAGCCGTGAATATTTCCTCGCCGTTAATCTCACAGCTGAAATCGTCAGCAGGCTTTCTAACACGCATTAGAGCAATTCTCTTTTGATTAGCATGCTGTGAAATGGTGGTGTGTGTGCGCTTGTTGGAGCGGTAAGGATAAAGACGTTAGCACAGCGCTGCGTTGGAATCCAACGGTAAGAAGCGGCACTTAGGGGAAAGTGTGGCTGAAACTACATATTTACACAAACTGCATAAAAAGGCAAATATTTTCCTTTTCTCTCTCCCTATTTAACGTGCCAGACTAAAGTTTTCCACGTTTAGATCAGTTAAAATGATTCAGTTTTGCTAAATGCCAGGATAAGGACCAAAATATTTACTTTTATATTCTTTAAACGATGACGATGTCATGGCTTTCTAAGCCACTAATGTCAAACTCAGGGCCCGGGGGCCAAATCCAGCCCGCCATAGCTTTCTATGTGGCCCTCGAGACTCTAAAGGGAGCCATAAATGGATCCGTCAAGATAACAGTGCTTAAACATTATTTTATCAATCAATTCAAAGCAGTTTTTATCAGTTTTCTCCCAAACTGCATCAATTAGTCCCTCCTGTTTCTTGTGAATTATTGTGGAAATTCAAGCAAAATTAACAGATCGCTGAATGTTTTCACTCAAATGCAAAAATACAAATATTTGTTGTATTTCATAAAACAGATAAATCGGAGTTTTTTGCAGATTTTTCACAAAAACAGCGAAAAACATTAGCTCTAAGAGACGCTTTACTCCCACCTGCAGGGGGCAGTATATCCTCTACTAAACAGCTGCCTTGGCCTTACTCTATATCAAGTTTAATCCATGAAAATGTCACGAACGAGTGACAAAAAGTCGCATTTACCGTTATGCAAAAATGCATATGTTTGTAAAATACAAACACAGACACTTTTTTATTGCAAAAATAAATAAATAAAATAAAATAAATTACAAAAACAATTGCCAAACCCTGGAGGGACTGAAAAGACATAATTATTGAATTCCAAAAATTTATTTATATTTCAACAGTTTAATGCATTTTATCACCATGACCTTGACTTGGCCCAAAAGGAAGATGAGTGTGACACCACAGCTCTAATACGTTCATCCACAACACAATGGTATTAACTTTTGAGCATGTTCTTGAGGTTTCATAAACTTAAAAAAAGGAAGCTGTGAAGTACGAGGGTGGCAGTATCATGATGTGTCCCAGGAGTGGCCGGTGTATTTCATAAAACAGATGGCGTCATTTTGAAAGAGGATCATTGAAAAACATTAAAGCAACATCTCTGCCAACTTTGGGCGGAAATGGTTCTTCTAGATGGAAAATGACATTAGTGAAAAACGAAGGCAGTTAAAAATGAAAGAAAACAAAGTCAGTATTTTGGAGAAGTCATTATCTATTCTATATATATGTATACATACCATTAAATAGCTGTGATCTGAATTCCATAAATGTCTTATTGACAGAGGAGAAAGGTTTGTGTGCTTCAAAACCTGAGTTAGTTAAACTGGTTTTGTGGGGAAGAATGGGCCAAAATTCCAGTAAACTATTGTCTACTGAATGCAAACTGAAAATGTTTGACCCAAGGCATCAATCTTAAAAATGCTCCAGCTAATTGTTACATCATCTAAGTTATGTACCTACTAGCATGACTGAAAAAAAGGTTTTGTGACAGCTTTGTGATTTTAATGCCTCCCCTTGTTTGAAAGAGTCAGACAGGTTTCAAACCAACAAAAAGAATAAAATCATGGAGGTCTGTCAAGTCTAAATAAAATCCTCCATCTTCCTTCCCAGATTCCTCTCTTGTCGACTGTCTTCTCTCTCTCTTTCTGTCTCTCGCGCTGCTGTATTTTTATTGCGCCTCTCTGCAGGCATTTTTCGTTCCGAAACAAAAACAGAAGAAAGAAACCGACGTCAGTCAGAGTGATGTTATTTTTTGCTTTGGTGCAGCGTTAGAAAGGCTGGGATAGACGTGCTCCTAAAACGTGTTATGGTAACGCAAGGAAACACGAGGAGATTAAAATAATGCCCTGACAAAACCTGGGAGCTGACGTGGGTCTGGATGAGTCGTCATTTTTGGTCTGTCTGGATGTTTGGGAGAGACCAGCATGTGTTGTTTGCCAGGGGCAGCAACGTGGAGATCATAGAGAATATTATCCCAAAAAATAAATAAATAAAACCCTCCAAAAAATGAAAATATGGAAATTCAAAAAACTCCACACAGAAACAAAGAAGTAAATGGAGTGGGAATCAGCGACTCATGTTGGAAGTCGTTTTGTGCTCAATATCAAATACTCTGATATATTTGTTCCTATGAATACACATTAGATAAAATGTATATTTAAACACAAAAGATTCAAAGGTGACCTATTATTCTTTCTTGAATAGGTTAGGAAATCCATGTTAGATTTTTTGCAGGACATCAATCTCAGATAATGACCTTTCAGTCTGGCGTTCTGCCTACTTTGAGCTCTTGTCACTTTCAATTCCAAACTCAATGTTTACACTCGCACATGAAAGTGACTGCAGACAGAAGGGTATTTCTGCAACCGTACATCTTTGAAAAGCAGAAGTGGAGCCTGCTGCACAGCCGACAAGAATGCAGCAAGTGGTTTTTGAATAGTAAGTCGTCTTCCAGCAGCTATTGTGTGCGCACACAGTGATAAAACCAGCTGAACAAACAGGCAGAACGCCAGACTGAAAGGTCATTATCTGAGATTGATGTCCTGCAGCTCTGCTTGGGTTGCCAGGTAACGGCACAGTGTCCGTCAATTGGGAGGTTTTGGAAACGGCTCATGTTCCAGACACCAAAAACCGGACTTATTGCCATCGGACTGTTTATTTTTTAAAGTACTTTGGTTGTTTTTAGAAGCAGATGACATCCAAATGGATGCATAGAAACACACAAAGTGTACATTTTGCCCAGTCGTTCTCCTCCCAGAAACCATTTTTACTCTCTGGCTCCTCTATGGTTTTGTGTCGGTGCATACATTATGTCCAAACCACAAACAAGAGTTAACATATTCTGCAGGTAGTCACTGACTGACATTGTGAAAATGCTATTTTGACTCTGTAAACATTCCCTGTGGTGCTGTTTGTCCAGAGTGTCCCCACGAGAGACCTGCCAGCCCCGACTCGAATCCATATTTTATAGCCGAAAAACAAACCTAACAGGTTTGGAAAATCTAATTTAAAAGGTATTTCTTTTCCCTCCCTTGACATTCTGCTCACAGTTTAAGAGCCATTAAAGCAGCCCTCAGCTGTTCCAGTTGAGGTGCACAACCACCAGCGGGACTCAGCTTTTCCCTGGGAATAAAAATGGGAACGCGGCTGGAAAACACAGAGCTCAGCAAAACGTCTCTCGCGCGACTTAACATTTGGGAGAACATTTATTAGAAATCAAAGCTCCGCTGGGGAAGCCGAGAAAAGCCGAGTTACAAGAACAGATCTGAGAAAAAATAAACATATATAACATGCAAAAGGTAACTTTGGGAGCAGCAAGAGAAACCAGCAAGAGTAAATTGCTACTGCAGGGATTGTCCAATTGTAAAGGAGTTGGGGGTACGGAGTTGATGCACAAATATCTACATAAACTGCTGCAGTTTATGCCACATATCATATACATTGTTCTCCTTCTCAGTTAATGCTAACTAACTTGCTAATGCTTGCATATTGACTAAATTAGCTAACGGCAATTTAAATGCTAATGTTTATTGGATAAAATCAACATTAGGGGAAAGCAATTGCTTAAAAAAATCAAAGTACTAAATTGGAGGAACTGCAACACAACACAGAGCAACAATTTTCTTAAGCTAGCATGTTCATATTTGCATGTTAGCTGAGCAAATTACAAATACCCATAAAATGCATCCACACAGCCCAGACAATGACTGCACAAATAAGTTCATACTTTCCATTTTCTCATTTATTAGCACAAAGTAATATGCTGATATTAACATGCTAGCGGCCGTTAGCTAGTAGTGGCATTAATAGCAAAATGTCTGTTGGCTAACGAGAGTCAGGAAAAACAAGCAGATGAAGTTATTACCCTTTCAAAATCCATGCCGCATATAAAAACACGAC